TGAAGATAGACCGAATGGTTGATTGACCCACAACTATTTTGTTGCGTGTCCTGAACAGACCTTGAACTTGTTGAGCCTTCAGCAGGGGTTTGTTTGTGAGTGACAAAAGCCTATAAAGTCTATGTTTTAAGTGGCCAGGCTTTAATCTCAAGTCAAGAGGGTGAAGAAGGAGCCAGCCATCTTGGAAATTTGCACCTTTACTACCTAGCCATGTCCCCTCTCCCTATCTGTCTGCCTACCAGTGAGTCTCTCTAACTCCTAGTCTCTTAGAAACATAGGAAAATTCAGGGTTTTTTCCCATCAAGCAGATATTAAGGAGATCAAAATCACTGTAAAATAGAGGGCTAGTGCTTAACAGTACTTGCTGCTCTTGCAGAGGACCAGAGTTTGGTCCCCAGTGACCATCTGCAACTCATGATCCAGGGGATCCAACTGTCTGTTCTTCTGTCCACTTCAGGTACCCAAATTCATGGAGGTGAATGTACACACACAGACAGACCCCTCACACATAAATACCCATACACACACACACACACACACACACACACACACACACACACATTTGCAAAAATATTATGTAAAATAAGTGCTTTATTTTCCAATATTGTTAATAGCAACAGTCAGCCTCTACACAAGCTTAAGGTTTTTGGATAGATTTCTTGGATAGCAATTCTGAAAGTGTTAAGCCAACTTAAGACCCAAACTCTATGAAATACTGCCTTATTTAAAGAGAGTGGGGGATTCTAAAGAAAGACCACAATTTTGCTAACACTGTGAAAAAAATAATCTCAGAGATTCTCTAGAAGGATTTCTGTTTGAGAGTTTAGAACAAAGTTCCAAGTTGCGTGTATGAAAAATGAGGTAGAACAAGAGTATCCAGATAGTTTTCTGGCACACAGATCTCATGTAAGCAGAGAGTCCAGCATGGTGTGTGGACACAGAGCCAGTAAATAGATTATATTTATAGGAAGACAATAATTGCATGAGCTGGTTTAATCACTAAATGTACAAAATAATTCATTCAATTTGTCAAGTGAGAGACAATTCATATTTCAAACTATATTTACTCTTTAATGCTGGCAGATTGTGCTATAAAAGGATTGGGAACCAAACAAAGATCTTCTTTGCATTTTTATATTCTTGTTCAATATTCAAATAACAAAAGAAAGGCTGATTTGGGGGTTATATAGCAATAAATATACACTAAAATATATGACTCTGTTAGAAATATATGATGCTCATATGGAATATTTGATCTTGGTGAAGGCTTGAGCTTAAATTTCTGTCAAATTCCACCAGTTCCAGTAAGTTTCTAGAACTTTGTTCTGTCAAATAATGCCTGAAATAAGCTTTTAGTTACAAGTTAAAATACTATTTTAATATTTAATATCATTTTACTCCATATCTAAATAGAACCTTTTAGCTTTTGATACCCTTCCCTCTACTTAAGAAGTGTTTAAACAAACAAACAAACAAACAAAACACAGGCTTTCACAGGACTCTCATGTTGACTTGATGGTCACCCCCCTCAAGTTATAGCTATACAAATCAAAACTAAGCTTACAAACTACATACACCCCATTTAGCAAAATTCAAGTAAACTAGAAGAATTGAGTGTGACCAGTGGTGTGTCTCTGTGGATGTTAAAGAACTATTAATACAGAGCCCGTGGCTCAATCTACTTCCACAGACCCCCTTCTGGTTAGTGTAAGGAAATTGCTACCAACGTTTTATGGAAGAGGATTGCCATTCCCTACTTGCAGGACTGGTTTTGAAAACAACAGTGGGAACAACAAAATATTAGCAGTATCTGAGAAAGAGGTGGATAATGTTCAGACTCTCTGTGTCGTCTTTGTCCCCCTACTGTCCTCTATCCAGTGTCAAACTTCTTCTAGCTACTAAAGATGTTCTTTAGAACTCCTACACTTAAGATACTTCTAGTATCCATCTTTTATTTTAAAAGCAACTGCAAAGATTTATAGTAACTTTCTTGTTTCCTAAGAAAAAGTCTATTTTTAAAATTAATTTTTCTTTGGGTAATTCTTATTGTCTTCTCTATTGATAAAGATGATAATGCGGTGGGTCACAGAGGCACAGTATGCTCAGGAATGAGGTGTAGGATGTCTCAGCCAAGCTCTTGCCTCCCAGATGGAACACACAATTGTTGGACTCAGGAAAGGACAACAAAGCATTAACCTCATTTCCTGAATCTCTTTGCCCAGGAATTGAAGCCTGAATAATATTTACTTGGTAAAATCAAAATGTCTTAATACTCTCTAAGCCTGCAGAGAAATTCACTTTTGGAGTTGCTAAATGGTTTATAATCTTCATTAGCAGTCAGTCATAAATATGATTAAGTGCTTAGGATACTGTTAAGTGCCCAAGAATTACTTGTTGCTGATTAATTATTTCCCTGTCCTTTACCTGGCTCAGGGAAATAGCTGTAGAAGTTATATATTACTCACCAAAGAAAGTAAGTGTGGTGGGTATCTGGACTCCCAATTATCACTGCACTGTTTAAGAAGGGACATTTGCAACTCCATGGTGGCCATGCTGTTGCTGAGAAAACATGGGGACACAGATTGCTGACAATAAGATTTGGTTATGAGAACTCAAGCTACAAGACTGAAATGAATAACGTGTTCTTCCCTGAAGGCAGATGGGGAATTGTGAACTTCCTCAAACAAGAAAGTTTGGATCCCTGCCACAGCCTCCACCCCCTCACAGTGCCAGTTTCTTCCTTCTGGAATTCTCCACCATAATCAGGAACCTGTCACCAGAAGAGAGAGGCTTGCAGTTGAGTCCCACTTTTATTTATTTATTGAGGGGGGGGTGGTCTGATAACTTGATTGATCCATGTGAGTCAGTGTGCTACATCCAAGCCTGTATGTGAGTTCATCTTAACTAATGCCTGTTGTGTAATGAGGAATGTGATCTAGAACTTGACCTAAAAAGCCATTGAGGTCATTAGGGATGTAGCTAGCATGCCCCAGCAACTATCTTCTGGCACTGCTGTGGACTTTGGAGAAGATGGCATTCTGGAGGCTATTGTTAAACTCTCAGAGAATGGAGAGGGCACTGCTTTCAGACAGAATCTTGCTATATTTCTGTGTAGACTAAAGGCATGAGTAATTAGCCACCCCACCCCCAGCTCCATGACTTGGCTAGGCCAGTAGGCTTCTCTGGAGTGAGGAGCTTCCTCTTATCGCTCTGCCCACCCTCCCCACGCCCGCTCCTCATTCTTGGACATTGCCATGACCTCACACTCTTCTGTCCCTAATTGCTTAGGCCAGCTTCAACTTGAACCCAAATTGCCCAGGCTATTTCTTCCAAATGAATATCAGGGAAGCTGGGATGGCTAGACTTGAAGTGCTTCCTCTGGCACAGCCCTCCCACATTCTCTCCCAAGACCAGACTTCCACCTTTGTTCCTGCAGACTTTGAGCTCTGGGGACTCTCTGAGTGCAGTCATCCCAAAGTGTGATATTGGACTGTATTTCAGGAATCCAACCATGTCTTTTGCTCAGGGTTAATGCCATTTATTACATTTGTATTATTAACTTACCCTCCAGCTCTGAGCCTTAGTCCTACTTGGGCCCTCTTATCATCTTGGCCACATAGCTAGACTGGCAAAATTCTGAAGCCTGTTTGTGGATACCTGCCCTACAAGTTTGCTGTAGCCAAGTGTTTGTGGCAGTTTCCAGAAGGCCCAGAGCAAAGTTAAAACGAAGAGAAAGAGTGGTGTTGACATCTAAACAAAATCCCCTGATATGCCATCCTAGAGCCTTCATCCAGCAGAAGATGGAAGTAGAAGCAGATACCCACAGCTAAACAAACTGAACTGGAATCCAGTTGCAGAGAAGGAGGAGTAATGAGCAAAGGGGTCAAGACCAAGCTGGTAAAACCCACAGAAACAACTGACCTGAACACGGGAGAGCTCTTGGCCCCCAGACTGATCACCGGGAAACCAGCATGGAATTGATCCAGACCCCATAAATGTGGTGTCAGTGAGGCCTCAGAAATCTATGGGGCCTCTTGTAGTAGATCAGTACTTATCCCTAGCAGAGGAATGGACTTTGGGAGACCATTCCACATAGAAGCATACTCCCTCAGCCTAGACACACGGGGGTGTGCCTATGCCCTATCCCAAAGGATATGACAGACTCTGAAGACCCCACCCCCATGGAAGGCCTCACCATCCCTGGGGAGCAGAAATGATATTGGATAGGTAGGGTGTTAGTGGGGGGCAGGGGAGGAGGGGAGGGAGAGGGAACTGGGATTGACATGTAAAACAATCTTGTTTCTAATTTAAGTTAAAAAATGGAAAAAAAATTGTCTGCTCTTCACACGTGCATACACACACACACACACACACACACACACACACACGGCAATCTATAACTGCAGCTCCAGAGGATCTGATGCCCTCTTCTGGTCTCTAGGAGCTCTCACCTGCAACCACATAGTGCCCATAAACTCACATGTGCTTACAGACATACATATCAAATAAATAAAACATATTTTTTAAAAAAGTTGGTGTGTTTTAATAAAAGAATGAAACCAGGTTTCAAAGAAAGGCAAACTTTCATATCTTTGAGTATTCAGTCAAGCTGAGGTCTAATACCATTGTATCTCCCACAAAGCCACTGGCAAGAGGAAAAATAGACAGCTGTGACATTTTTATATGAAACCAAAACTGGGTAAACTTTCTACTCTGACAGCATTGCTAACCCCCCATGCGATGCTCATTTTCCAAAAGCTGACTGGAAAATAACTGTCTAGAAAGTGTTAGTATTCTCCCTCCAGATTAAAAACACTCTTTGCTTTATATGGTTTTAGAGATACCGGAAGTTTATGCAAGGACATTTTTCATCACAAATTAATTTTTCCTATATCATGTTTTTTGAAATTAAATATCCTTTGAAGCTGTGATTATTCTCCATGATAATAAGTGGCAAAAATAATATAAATTTACATTGGGACATGTGCCACAAAACTTACCTCCTCAAATTCCCAGATACTCCTGTGATTTAGTAACTTGTCTTATTCTATGGTTGGTCAGGATGTTGAAGACTGGTGAAGAAAGTCATTCTGAATTCAGGAAACAAGCCAATAAAAACTCTTAATTTGAATTTAGGGCTGATTACCCAGTCCATTCTTCTCTCCAGCAGCCCAAGTACAGGTGACAGTAGAGCAGCCATTAAAAGTCTCCAAGGGGTTACATTTCTACTGCTTAATTGCTCCAGCTAACACATTTCATCTCAGTCAAGCAAAGAGATCTCCGTCCTGTGCTCCCACAGCCTCGGTCCTCCACTAGCTGTGCTTGACACGGTTTAAAAACTCCCTCCTAACAGTGAATCAGGCCCTCTGTGCCACACCCTCCCACCTCTCGAGTCCATGCTCCATCACCCCATCATCGCTTTCACCAGGATGCTGCCACATCTAATGAGCTTACAATTATTTTTAAATTCTTTCCATGAGGTGATATCTACATGCCAGCTGGGGAGAGAATGTAATCAATCCACCTGGAAGAAGTTGAAGCGAGTGAAGGGCAGGAGGTGGTGAAAAGGTGTGGTTGATGGACCTCTCCGTGAGACTGCTAAGCTAAATATCCTATGTCTATCTAACTCCAGATTTGAGAGCTCCCAATGCTCATAGTGTAGTCAGTCGTGCACTCAGCTCAGGTGGGAAGAGAGCTTCTCCTAGATTAATAACAGGGTGGAGGGAAGAAAGGCAAAGAGGAGAAGCGAGGGGAGGAGAGGGGAGGGGAGGGGA